CCCCATGCGAAAATCACAGAGAAAAATCACAAGGTTTACCACCACCCAGGACAGCAAGCTCACCTCAAAAGCCAGCAGCTACACAGGGGAGAGCCCCAGTGGGAGCAAAGCAGGAATGGAAGACAAAAGCTACATCCAAGGGTTGCTGGAGGCAATGACTCAAGAAATAAACCGAGAAATTGATCAGAAATTGAAAGAGCACAAGGATGAACTATCAAAAGAGATACAGGATATCAAACAAGAGTTGGATGCAAAAATAGAAGCTGCACAAACCTCAGTAAGAAGTGAGATAAACGCCAAATTAAAGGTAATGCATACCTCATTGAGAGGTGAGATCAGTACTCTGAGAACCAACATTGAATCCATAAAGGGATCCATTTCCTCCATGCAAACCACAATAGAAGCCACGGTCAACAGAGTGAATGAAATGGAAGGTAGAGTGTCAGATACAGAACACAGAATACACCAACTGGACCAAAAAGTGACAGATATGGAAAAATCACTCAAATTAAACCAAAGGGAAATTCAAGAGCAAGCAGATAATGCCAAGATATTTAACCTTCGCATAATCGGAGTGGACGAAGGTGAGGAATTCCAGAGCAAGGAAATGCAACACCTATTTAACAAGATAATCAATGAAAATTTTCCCCACCTCAAAAATGACCATCTTAACTACATCACAAAAGTTTATCGAACACCCAACAAGCAAGATCCCAGGAGAAACACTTCTAGACACATTATAGTAAAAATGATAAATCTGAATAATAAGGAAACAATCCTGCATGCAGCAAAAATGAAGAAGGAGCTATACGACAACGGGAAAAAAATTAGAATCACTGCAGATCTCTCCACACAAACAATGAATGCAAGAAAAGCCTGGGAAAGCACCATACGAGCCCTGAGAGCCAATAACTGCCCACCCAGACTAATATGCCCGGCAAAGCTAGCATTCACATTCGATGGAGAACTGAAAACTTTTAATAGCAAAGAAAAACTAAATGAATACATAAACATTAAGCCAGCATTACAAAGAATTCTAAGAGGGGGGACACAACCTGAATAAAGCAACCAAGTACTGGGGCCTGCCCCAAACAGGCATTACTCAAAGTCTGAGCAAGCACAGGAGGAAAGGAAAGAAGAAAAACTTAGGAAAACGGGATGGCAGGGACAACAATGCATCTCTCTATACTTTCTCTTAATATAAATGGGCTGAATTCGCCAATTTAAAGAAAACGAACTGAGGACTGGATCAGAAAACAAAACCCATCCATCTGTTCCCTTCAGGAGACCCACCTCTCAGACAAACATATAAACAAACTCAGAGTGAAGGCGTGGAAAAGGATCTACCAATCAAACGCCCCCAGTAAGAAAGCAGGTGTAGCTATCCTGATATCTGACAAAATAAACTTTTCATTAAAATCA